TTACTGATTTTTCAATTAAATCGGTGAATTTGGTGTTGGTTTTAGATCATAGGGAATTACTATACATTTTTCTAAGATGCATTAATGTAAGATGTTGTTGACTATATCGTCGATGAAGTGACGTGCACGAGTTGCAAATGCACTCAATTATTTCAAACCTGTTATTGATATTTATCTGAGCCATAATTTAGTGTAATTAATGGGGAACTTAATTAGATTACATCACACTAAATTTTTCTTGTTTGATTTCCTTATTTTCCTTTTGGAATTATCGACAGGTCAACAATTATACATTCAAATACAGTACCCACAAAAGAGCAATCAAATATTGCTTCCAGCAAAATCAGGCAAACAACTGAGGAATACAGCAATAATTCCAGGGATACAGAAAATCCTGTGCCAAGGTCCATTCAGGGTCTGCAAAAATTTTCACATGGTATGTCATTGTTATCATATATCATCGTGCTTTGTCAAGTTTATGAGCATTGTCAGTAATCAGCTAGCAAACATTCTTGTTTTCAGCGAAACCTGGTAAAGTTGTTGGGCCGGTTATTCCATACGAGTATGCAAGTGTTGTCAAGGGTTCATACGAGCCGAGGACATTTATGAGAGGTTCTGTTCCTCCTTCTCAACCTACTCCCCCAACGAATCATTATCAAAGATTAACCTCTGGGAAACAAGAAAGGTCAGCAACAGAAGCTGAGAAGTGTGTATCTTTACAATCAAAACTTGCACAGCAATGTTGTGTGAATGGCCAAATAGCACCAGAAATAGCAATAAATATTGATTCCAACCCCTTTTTCATGACACGAGCAGGAGTGAACAAGATAGAGCAGGATGACCGAATAGCCATTGATACAAAGTTGCTGCAAACAAAAGCTCATCAATATGGTGGGATTAGTACAACTGCTCATAGAAAGGTTGGACCAGTACAGTATGGTATTACAAGGTTGTTCTAGAAGAATGTTGGCTTGTGAATAGTTTGGCCAGGTGGAGCAATCCTTGTCGAGCACAAGAGAAGTTTCTTTACAGTGGAGAAGTAGTAGTCTCTGGTGGTGCTTTGTGTAAGATGATTGAGTTAGTGCTACTTTCCCAGAAAGAACCAGCTTTCTCTTGTCAAACCTTGTAAACATTGGTTTCAGTTATCAATAAACTGAACAATTGAAATTGAGTTCTATCTTGTAATTCAATCCACACAACCTTTTCCCTACATATTTTTCCTTTTTAGATTTCCTGCAATGCCTATTTTGCAAATTGACATAAATAAATAAATCAGACTGGTACATGTACTTGTAAAAATGATAAAATAGCTATTTGTTTTATGCGTGTTATGCTCACGGGATATAAAGGAGATTCATTGTTTAACCATAGTGGTTTAATCCCCTTTGGCCATTATAAAAACATATTCCTCACAACTTTCTTAAACAACTGGATTCCATTTAAAACATTATCAATGGCTCAAATTCCTATTGAATTTTGCTCACCTACTCATAATAACTATTCATCCTTGAAAGTAGGTTTGATGTTTGCATGATTTGCTTCTATTTTTGTTTTTTTATGTTACTAAAAGAAACAGACATGTCTTTATTTTATTGAAAGAGAAATACCCGTAACATACCCTTTTTTAAGATGTAACTCTGGATCATATGCTTCAGATTAATATGCCAAGTGATTTTAGATCAATGGTTCAGATTACTTTCATATTTTGAATATACTTTATATGGAAAAATTTAGTTGAAATTATAGATAGGTGGTGATCCAAGTAAATTAAGTAATAATTTTTAGTCAGGAAAATGTTAAAAGAATGTGTTTTGCTACCACTGGTTTTTATTCAAATGGAATCCCTCGAACAAATAGTCTTAGCATTTGATTGAATGCGACATCACTGTATTTCATATGGTTTTGAAAATATGAACAAACATGTGGCCACCTTTAGCCTCTTGGAGCCACATTGCCCTTCCATGTGGAGGAAGTTACTGCAGCTACCTTTTGGAAGCTCTATCTATTAGCTACCTACACAGGATAAGATTAACTTTATGTGGAGGCTAGCTTTCAGAATGTACATCCACTTATAACTCTTCCTTTTTTCCTTCTTCTTACTTCAGAATAGTTAAATCGGTAAGGGTGGAAAGTGTGATGCAAAGAAACTTGTGACTAGTTACTATCCTATCACAAAACCTGGTGGATCACTCCTGTCACTGTAATGTTGCATTGCAGCCCACAAAATAGAATTGAAGATAAAGAAACAAGAAAAATTGCAGGGCTCTGAATGTAAAACATGGTTGGTTGATTTACATTAATCATTCATTTAAGTGATGGATTAAAAGCATTGGACGAGAATGTCCTAGAAAATGAGGTAAATTTGAATTTGAAAGAGAGTTGAGATAATGCATTTGAATGATTTGGTCGCTTGTTTATTGTTTGGCATTTACTGCATATGCAACTGCAAACAAGGCGGGGCTCACCAATAAAAGTCTGAGTCAGTTCATGTGCTGACCATTAAGTTATAAACAGGTTGAGAAAATCCTCATTCCTCCCTCCCTCCATGAATATTCCTCACCAGCTGCAAGCATTTATTTTTCTTTTTCTAAACCTCATTGCTGATATTGTTGCAATAAGTTTTTCTCCACTGATATCTTCTTTCATTCACCTACACACCCTAAAATGGATGACAAAAACTTCCCTTTTTCTTGTTACAACCTTCTGTGATGCCATGCCTGCCTAGTCACTCCTATTCACAGAATTTTCTTTAACTAAAGATGTTTAATTCACTATTTGGCTATCATCATTCACACCACAGTTAAATAAGTAAACAAAAAAAAAAGAAACATCCACTAAACTAAAGCTGTACACCAAATGTATGCATTAAAGGATCACAGAAACTATTAAAATGGAATTCTGATTTTGATATAAAAATAGCAGCAAAAGAAATATGTACAAGTTTTGCTCTTAAGTTGAATGTGGTTAATATTTGTGTGGTCATTAGCTTGTAGGGGGAATAATGGAAATGTGTCAATAGGTAGCCATAGAGGCCTACCATGTGAGAGTTTCGTTTGTTTGCACAGTAAGATGATTTTGAAGATAGTAATATGTCCAAAAGAAGAGAGAGGAGGATGAATAAATAACCGGGAAACAGGGTCTGTTGCAAATGGTGAGCAGAAACAAAACTCAGGTAGGATGTCCACACATGTTTTGGAGTTAGATTAGATGTATGATATTGAATTACAATAGCTCTCTCATCAATGATATACATGCCAAGGCCCTGTGTAACAATTTCATTGAAATTTCGTACAAGAAATGGTGGTACGGACCCCATTACCTTACCTCCCGGAAGCAAAAAAGAAAAATAATGAAGGATTGAAAAAATTGTGTGGCATTAAATAAAAAGAGTAGTGTAGTGTGTGAATGTGACAAGAACAGAGGGATCCGAGTGGGTCTGAGCACATGGAGTCCCATATGCCCAACACAACCAAATCTCTCATACAATCCCAATGACCCAATCCGCCGATTGGTTTCCTTCTTGGAAACACCACCACCTCCCCTCTCTGATACTCCACCACACTCTCTCAGGGCCACACCATCCATCACTAATTACGGAACCCTCACTAAAGCTGCAACACCAATCACCACCATATTAACAAACACTCATACATACATGCATCAATCATCTTTTCTTTTCACTCTCTCCCAATCAAAATTACAACATTTCTAAATCTTTTAATCCACCCCTACTAGTAAGTAATACCCATTGTGTTCAAATAATCAAATGTAATTGCAAATGTTAAAAAGCTACTGCCTTCAAAATCTGTATAAATTACTTTCTCACAAACATCACCAGCTTTAAGCACCGTTCACTTTTATTTTTTTCTTTATCCTTTACTCACCATCAAATAATGATTTTCTTTTGGCTTGTACATCATATGATGGCTCAATTTTTATCTGTGTTCTGACCGTCAAATTTACCATCTGGAAAACTTTCTTTATGAGAAAAAAAAAAAACTGTCATTCAAGGCAGTTGATAGCTTTCGTTCGTATTACTGATTTTTTTTACAGGCATTTATTGTTATGGATGCGACATAATCAATCATTTAATAAAATACTGTAGTCATGTTCAATTAACTTGTTTATCCACAGAACCAAGTTGTCCTGAATTAGCTAAGCAGAGTGTTTGATTTCCCTCAAATGACAAGTTGTTAGTTTAATATGGGTTGGGATTGATATGATTGTAGCATTGTGCATGATTAATTTGGCCTAAAAGGGTTAGAAGGGGGTTTTGTGGGGCTCAAGGTGGGGTCACTGGAAAGAAAACACGTGGCAGTCATGCGAAGGGTGGTGATGCAGATCATATGGCATATGAAAGAGAAGAGAAGAGAGTGGAGAGGCACATGGGTGGGTGTTAGGTTCAAGGAATTCATGTGAGCACATGTGCTTTCTTCCCTTTGTTTTGTGTCCTGTGGGACCATTTTTTATGCTCTCACATCTCCACTCCTCAACGGGGTTGCATTTTCAGTCACACTTGTAAACTTTATACTTTCACCTTTACCTCATTTCAATCTTACTAGCTAAGAATCCTCTCTTTCCAATGCCAACACACACTTCATAGACTATTACCATCATGCATGTGTTTAACATGTTATAATCAACCTTAAATATTTCATCTGTTCTATGATCCTCGGAAGAAAACAAAGACAATAAGCAATGAAAATGTAACATAATACTAAATGGTAAAAACTGATAGCATAGAAGTGTGGTTACTGCATGAAGAGAAGGTAAAAAATTGATGAGGTGGAAGAGGGTGTTGGTGTGGAGCGTGAAGGCCACCTCATTGCCCCAATCCAAAACTTGGGGGCTTCTTCTTCTTGTGTTGTGAGGCCAAAACCAGTGGGGCCAGCTTCGTTGGCATTGACATTTCTAGAGCTCAACAATAATTTAACATCTTTCTCCCTCCCACCCTCCCTTGTTTGCAGCCACCACAAGACAACCTCACCTCTCATATAACTCCCTCACACATTAATCTTTCTTCTCTTCTCCTCTCTCTCTCTCTCTCTATCTCTCTCTTAACCCTCTTACACACACATCACATTACTACTGCTACTACTGCTACTGTCACCACCACTGCTACTACTTCTACATGTCATCATCCATGGAACAAGAAGATAACACCCCAAAGCACACTATCATACCCACATTCCTCAGAAAACCTTCAGACGACCAGGCCAACTCCGCCGTCTCCTCTCACAAATCTTTGCATGTTTTCCGCCACAGCAGGAGGCGGTGTAGGAAGGAACTCACTGCGAAAGAGCCTGCCAAGGAAGGTGATGAAGACGAGGAGAAGGAAAAAGAAGAAGACGAAGATGGTGGTGACGTTGATGACAGAGAAGAGATAGAGAGGAAGATTCACACTTTGCAGAGGATTGTGCCTGGTGGGGAGTCATTAGGGGTGGACAAACTCTTTGATGAAACTGCTGGCTATATTCTGGCCTTGCAGTACCAAGTCAAAGCCTTGAGGGCTCTCACTGGTTTCTTTGAGAAGTTGGAGAAGGAGAAGACAAAGTTTGGAGGTTGATATCATCGTCAAAATGAATGAATGAATCAATAATCCACGGTGATGAAGCTGCTGCATGATGGATTATGGAAGCAGCAGCCTAGGTTAGGATCTTTTGGTTTTTCCCACAGACCCTTTAGTTAGATATTTTTTTCTTTTTCTTTTTACTTTTAATTTTTCTGTTCTTGGCTGTACTTTTGGAGGTTGGGATCAAGGAAAATGTCTCCCATGTTCTTAGATTTTCATTTTTTTATTTTTTATTTCGAAGTTCTCAATTTCTCACTGTGTTCTTTTGCTGATGACTTTATTATTTATATCTATATCTATATATATATATATCCTGAAAGTTGATAATGTTACGCCGCAGATTAGTGTTAGAGAATTGATTTTGGGGAAGTGTTGTAGGAATCTTAAGGTGTTGGATGACGATGATGATGATGATCTGGAGTGAAGGTAGAGTGGGTGGAAGTGTATGACATTATGGTGTGTCTGTGGTGGATGTACGTGGGCTATGTGTGACAGGTTTTTTTTGTTCATCTCGGTCCAGTGGGCCAGTCCTATTTGGTCTTAAAATCTGGATGAGATCAGAGGTTTTTAAAGTAACATGGCACATACACATGTTGGCATTGGTCACTTTCTCTTGTGAAAACTTTGGTTTGGGGATTTTGGAATAGGGTTCTTTGACTTTTTTGGCAGTTAGCCATTACTACCACAATAACTTACACTTACAATGCGGTATACACAAAAAAGAGAACACCCCACTTGAATTCAATGCTTTTAAATTTCACATGCCTCAGGATCATCTTCCATGATTTAAGCTAAAAGCAACCATCCATTATCATCACTCTTAACTCTCTTAATTCTTTCCTTCCATCTTTCTTTCAAACATGGAACACCAAATATAATCACAACTCTCTCAAACCAACAAAACGTTTTCAAGCAGTGATTTTGTTCTCGTGTACATCTGCAGCAAGATTCCAACAAAATCATTGTTTCCTTAAATTTAAGAATGTGATGTCCTATGAAAGAAAAACAAGTTGGAATTGAGGTGATGGTAATAATGAGATAAAACCAAGGGTGCTCTGAGAATACAGTTACAGGCACTTGCACTGCAATCTGTGTACTGTTTTGGAGATCCAACACATTCATCTGCATTCTCCAATTGCCAACTTCCTGGAGCAGTCACAATCACAGTCACAGCCACCACAATTTTTTCGAGAATCATGAAAAGCCTTATTGGGCATGTGCACAACTACAATGTGTATCCATCAATACACAGAAACCATGCATAAATGCTGCATCGCCATCAAGACAGATCATGCAACTTTATCTCATCTGCATAATATATTAACAAAAGATCACATTGATATATATAATGAAGATTGTTTCATGTACGAAATTCTAGGAGATTAGCGTTCCCGTATCACTTATATGAGTGTCGGTGTCACTTCATCCACTGGAGTAAATTTTCATAATTATGGACTGAAAATAGATTAACTATAGTAAGCAAATTTAGCAGAAATTAAAATTATACAATTTTGACATAGTAATTGAATTACTTAAAATTAGGACATTAAATTCTATCTAAAAAATCAAGAATTTGGAATTCTTTATATTATTATGAAATTTATGCTTTTTTTTTTAAATTCTTATTTTCTTCTTCATTCAATTTTGATTTGGTTTTCTTCAACTTAATTAAGATCAAAACATTTTCAGAATTATTACTTTTGATTAATGTTGATTAGTTTTGTAATTTATATTACTAAAGTTTTTTAATCAATGTTATTTCTTGTTTCATGTTAGTTAGGGTTTTTTTTCAGATGTGATAATTGATTTTTTTTCAATTAATGTTAGTTAGTAATGGTTTAGTTATCATGTACACATATATGTAACTATAAATTTCTTTTGTTAGTGTTAACTAGAAAAATTCACACATAATATTAACTATAATTTTTTTCCAATGATAATTGGGAAATTTTTAACCTGTGAAAAAAGTCTTACAAATATAAGTCAATGTTTTCTTTTGACGAATCTTGACCAAAAGTTAACATCATGATTGAAAAAAAAGATGAATTAACAATTATTTGATATTTAAAAAATAATTTTACATTTAATGGTAACTAAAATAATTTATATTCAAATTAAAATATTAAAGTTCACATTATTAAAAAAATGTTATAATTTTTGTTTATTGTTAACAATAAAATTAAACATTACGTTAGTTAGGTTTGTTTCTTAAACGTGAAATTAACAGGTAAAAGTAATAATTAAAACAAAAAATGGTTGTATTTAAGAAAAATAATTGACAGTTCCGTTTTAACAAAAATGATGGAGATTTAGATTATAAAGCAAACCAAATAATTTCAATCTTACGCAATAGACACGTTGGATAATTTGTGGCTTGGGCCTATTGGGCTGGAATAAAATAGTTGCAGAGAAGTAAAGGACTGAGAAGATTACTATTGCCACCCGTCAACACTGTTTAAAATTCCCGTTTTGATAAAATGATGAATAGTATGTTTGTACCGTTTATTCAAGACAATGATGAATACCATATTTCTACCATTAATAAAATAATGAATATTAACGAACTTTTTTTAATATATTTTGCAATTAATTAAAATGTGTCCAAAAATATAAAATGTAAATTACACTTTTACATGTGAAAACACAACTTGTAGGCGCTAGTATATCTACTTTTTTCAGACAGTAAAAAATAATTTTTTTTTCTGAAAAGCTTGATATTATAATAATTATTGAAATAAAAATTACTAAAAGTTATATTACAATTATAAATATATTAATATAGAAAACAATGACGAAATATTTCTTATTAACTTTTACGAAGTTATAATTGACATATCATAGTTGTGTTTATCATAGCAATTTAATATTATATTATGGCAACATATTATATTTTTCTTCCTTTTCTTTTTCAAGTGACTACAAGTTACGATTATTTGGTTTATGTATGTTATTTTTAGTTTTATCTATTGATTGATACATGACATGATAGTTCAAACTTTAGTTAGAATTTATTCCGAATAAAAAAAAGTTAGAGAGTAGAAAAGGCATACACATTTTTATGTTTTTTAATAAATTTTCAATCTATAATTTTTGTTGTAAGAAAAAGTATATTGTTACACCGATGCAATTTGACACGCTGGCGCACCAGAACCGGAATACAACCTAAAATCTGAACCGTTGGTTGATGATTCTGATCTCTTACTTTCTGTGTTCTTCTGCCTTTTCCATCAGAAAAGGTGAAAAGAAAATGGTAAAGTTAAAGATATTTTTCACATACACTACTCAAAACCCTAGTCACATATCGTTCACTAAACACAAACCTCTTCTTTCCCTTTTACGGAAAATCATCTCCATTTTTTTCTGGAAAATTCATCTTCCGTTCTCGCTGACACTACCGCACACTCTCTAAACGCCTTCACTCGCTTCGTACTGTCCTTTACACATCCGCAATAATATGTTTATATGTATTTATATATTGCTAATTTTGTTTAGTTGCTTGTATAATTCGATTCATAAGTTACTTTTTACAGTTTATTTTTCATTATTTTTCAAATTATTGGCAAGAAACAGCGTGTTCATTCTCGACTTTGATTTCTGGCTTACTTAGTTGATGAACTGACAGCGTGCTATTTTTCTTTGTTTTGCAGAATCAGCCATGGCGGATGACGGAGTTGCCAACGGCGGCGTAGATTATCAGTACGGTGAGGAATCGGCGACGAAGATTGAAGTGTTGCAACGCGAACGCGATGAATTGGTGAACGAGAACGCCTCGAGGAAGGAGGAGATCAAGAAGCTGACGGCGGAGCTTGACATTTTGCGAAGAGATGGCGCGGTGAATAGCGAGAAGATCGAGGAGATGCAGCGAGAGGTGGTGCAGTCGCGCGACGCGGTGAAGGCGGCCGAGGTTATCGCGGCGAGGGCAGCGGACCTGGAGACGGACGTGGCGAAGCTACAGCACGATTTGATATCGGAGATGACTGCGACGGAGGAGGCGAGGGCGGATGCTTCTGAATTGAGGAAGGATTTAGGGGAGAAGGAGTCGTTGGTTGAGTCTCTGGAGAAGGAACTGACAGCTTTGAAGAAGGTAAAGGCAGAGGGTGAGGTTAGGGTTAGGGATTTGGAGAGGAAGATTGGAGTTCTGGAAACCAAGGAAATTGAGGAAAGGAACAAGAGGATTAGGTTCAAGGAGGAGATGAGAGATAAGGTTGATGAAAAGGAGAAGGAGATCAATGGTTTCAAACAGAAGTTGGTGGAATTGGAGAAGGTTACTGCTGAGAAAAAATCTGAGTTGGAGGAGTCGGTTAAGCAGAAACTAAGGTTGGAGGAGGCACTTAAAGAATCTGAGGAGAAAGTAGCGGCTTTGGAATCAAGTATTCTTCAATTGCGTGAGGAAGCAAAGGAAGTTGAAAGGGTGATTTTATTGCTGAATGAGAAGGCGGTTGAGACTGTTGAGAATATTGATAGAGGTTTAAATGGCATACATGATGAAGGGAAAGGATTGAAGTTGCAGTGGCCGGTGGTGGCAGCAGGGTCTACAGGAGCTGTTGTTGCGGCGGCTGCCGTAATCTATGTGTGCTATGGGAAACGGAAGTGATTTCATATGACCAATCATCGATTGGAAGAGGAGGTTGTAGAGGTTAGATTTACCAGCCCTTTAGTCACAGATATGCTGCAATTTTGTTTCTCATAAAATAACTCTTCTTCTCTGGCTTTTATTTTTGAAGCCTGTGAAATTTTTATGTACGTTGAAGTTGGCATACTTGTTTGATTGTTAGTTTCCTTTCACGAGGATCGAACCACTGTGTGTTGCATTTAATAAATAGGTTTCAAAATTGATATTAGATGTTTCTGTGTTTAGTTTCACCTTATTTGTTTGGAGGATAGGCATTCGGTAGTGCTGGCAGTTTAAGGCAGCACTCGGCAGTTTCGGCAGTTTCTGAAGTTGATTTCTCTGTAATTTGTCTTTTCCACAGTGATTCTCACAGCATGTCTTTGAATGTAGAACCCACCTGGTGAATCATATGATCTTTTAGGATTAAATGATAACACTGATTTGTTTGTGCTGTTGCCCAATTGCCTTTTTGTCTTGCTTGGTGTCATTTTGGTTGGGTTTGATGACTTTGGAGAAGTCACTGCAATGTGCTCAGAGAGAGTTTTTCTCTTTCTGGTCTTGTTCCTTTTTTTTCATTGCTTATACCCCATTTGTGGCGATTGTATTCCGAAGAAGTTCGGATTTAGTTGAAAGTTTTTTCAATTGTAGTTGACTTGTTTGGGG